AAAAGAATAACTGTGTTACAATGACCTAGTCAAAGACCCCAGCCCGACTGAAACACTGTGGCAGGACCTTAAGAGAGCAGTGCATTAATGGATGTCGATTAACTGTAGCAAAACTGAACAGAAACTTTAGCCAAAATTCCTTTGCAGCGACGTGAGACACTGATAAAGTCATACAGAAAATGATTACTACAAGTTATTGCTCCTAAAGGTCTTTTCCACAAGCTATCAAATGTCCTGCGTGCTTACTTATGTGTAGTTTGTTTTTAACAGGACTGCATAGAGTCATGCAAAAACTTTCTTCTTTACGTGACCGAACGTACTGCATAACCAATCCAACGATCTAGAACCAAACGCAGATTTAAACACAGACTAGTGAGGGCACAGATTAAAGTCCCAAATTTGAATGAACTCAGCAGAGGGCATACACACAGAGGCGGTCTGCACAGTAACTAAAGCAGTCAGGTAGCAAAAACACTCCAAGGTTCCAAAAACACACAATGCATAAACATCCTGCAAGATACTAGCAAATGCACTCGTCAAGGTGCAAGCAGAAATCACAAAAGAGAGACTCAGGGTAAAGATTAAAAAAACAGACACACACAGGACTTTCTAACAACCAAAAAAAACTAGCAGAAAAACTAATCAAAGTGCAGACGTAAAACCATCTGAAACAAGTCAGATGCTTTGATCTCTTTTCTAAATATTGGATTTAGACCTGAGCTTCAGAGCCATGCGTGGTCTTTTCTTCTGCCTTTTTAAACTAAAACAATTTGTTGTTTGCGCTTTTTCCTTTTGCTCACCTTAACTGAACAAACTGGGCAATGGCAAGTTAAGGCCTATATGTTACTCAACAAGTTTTATCATATCTGCTTACTTTCGCCTCTCCCTTTATATAAACGCCCTTCCTCCTCTGCTATTATTCCTATTATGAACATGATGCTGCAGTAAAATCCAGATGAGAGATTTTTTGTGTCAGGGTTCGATAGACTTTTGCTGCAAGAGATCAAACAGGAAACTGCACAAAATATCACATGGCACTCACAACTAATGCAAATATAGCTTTGAGGACTAACTCTCGCCTCACCGACGCAGAATGGCCCTTCCTGCGTGATGTTTTAAACTGAAGCACTATTGCGCAATATATTGTTACTGTCGGGAGTGTTTTTCTCTTGATGTTAAGCTTCAAGTCAAAATCAACTGATCGTACTGTGAGAAGATTCTGGGCGTAATAGCCTGCTACTCTGCTACCACTGTGATTAATTACCTCAAATTCAGCCTCAGAATGGAAGGAGTCAGTGTGCGTGATCGGTGGAAAGTGGGGCATCAGCAGTCAGCTGTATTTGGATTATAAGTCAACATGGTTTGTGCTACCTGCTGAATCAGCCGTTTTTGCGTGAGGACAGTGAATGATCTTAATCCTGTATGTCTAGGTAACCTTCTCTGCACGAGGACAAATGCAAGAGTAGCACAGTTTATGGTCTTGCAGTAAGGCTGCCATACTGCATGAACAGCAAAGAAAGTCGTGTTTTAGTGCTGCAACTTTGTACCATTTTCTGTGAGTATACAATGTGCAGTTTCAGGGGGCACAGGCAGTTTCTTTTACTTCTTGATAGTTGTTCTGAAGTAAGCTTTTCTCGGGACGGTGACAGCTTGCAGCACTGGTGTGTGAGGAGGAGAAGACAAAGCACTCTGTTCTCTGAGGCTGTGTGTGATTAATGACAGAGGTGTGTGTTGCAGTGGGCACCCTCGGAGCAGCTACAGATCAGTCTTCCTGTAAGACAAATCTGACACTTACCAACCCACCGCCCCACCTGCTACCCCCTCGTACCATCAAACCCTCAGCTTCTTGCAGCCAAGTGCACCCAGTGCGACATTGCACTCATAAATCATCCTAAACAAAGCATGTTTAATCTGTGACGCGCAGGCCTGACACGCAAATTTATTACCTGTTGTAGGAAAACTGCACATGTCCCAGTGAGTCAAGCCTCTATTTACCTTTGAGAAACCAGTAAAATACTGGAAAGACAAAGTCCGCAACAAAGGAAGATGATGATGGCAATGTCTTTCGGGCTGAATTCGGGAGACAAAGCCTCGCTTTGCTCAACCATCGAGCTGCCTTTTCATGGTGGATGACATGCTTGCACGACTTTCTCGACTGCACATGCCAAAAAGATTTAGGGATTTTTCTCAAGCACATTTGTAAAACATGAATACCAAATTATCTCTTGTGGATTAGAGTTGGATAGCTGCTGTATGCCTGGTGTGAGTCATAATGCTTAGTGAGAACTGGGCACCTACTACCTTCAAATGCATGTTAGGGTAGCTTTTTAGCTTTTTAGGAACTCTGCAGTAATAGAGCATTGTGAAGGAAAATGTAATTGTGCTTAAAGAAAGCAGTTTAGCAGCAACATATGTAAACAAACCAGTAAACACAAGTTAGTAATGGCATTTCAAATTATATGCTAAATTACAGTCTGCTGTTAAACAGCATTTGGATCAGAATGGAGAACACTGTCTTCTTTAAATCCTGCCTACAGGTACTGTACACTGAGAGTAGATTTAGATATCTTTTGGCTTTCCTGCTATACAGTCTGACAAATTCAATTACAGTAGCATTAGCTTGATGTGCAATCGTAACTAAAATGCCAAGGAGAACTGGCTGAAAGGCAGGAATTAAAGTGGTTTCTCCCACACATTCCCTTCCGCAGACTCCCCTGATCCGTCTCGTTCTCAACATGTCTTTTCACTGGAAATGGTGGGAATGAGAAGTGATGGCACCTGCTCACTGGCTTTGGCAATGTCAGAAACTCACACGTACACAGACACGCTCGCACACGTTTTTGCTTATGATGCAATCATCGAGTCAGAAAATCTGTGAAATTAGCAAACAGTGAACTGCCCGAGTAAAAAATCATCATTTGCACTCAAAGAAAATTAAAGATTTATTAAAAAAACAAACCCTGAAAGTACTTCGAATGTTTTCTTCTACTAATAAGTGAGATCCTTAGGTGGATGTTAAGAAAAAACCCCACAATATGTTTGTGAAATCACTCAGTAGTACGTGGCACTGTTAATCATTTGAGTCATTCCAGGTGATTAATTAAATTGATATTGGAGACAAAATGAATAATGGCAAGAGCAGATTAATTCCTGACCTTGTTCAATTTTTAATGAGCTCAGTACAATTGAGACTAAATTTCAGAAATGGAACTATAGACTTGTGTGAATATTGCAGATAATTAAAGAACTTGCATTATTATCCAAATCTCTGCACATCTGCTGGAAAAAGGGGGCCTATCAAGCAAACAAGACAGAATGGATGTTTGAGCTACTCCCCCTTGCAGCTGATAAGCATTCAGTAGTGCGATAAACAGAGACGAATACATTAAGAAACCCAAGAGACTGATAATCTCAAGAGGGATCATCAGCTCATCATAAGGACCTTTGTATGCTGTCGTTCTCTGCCTCAGGAACTGCTCAACAAAACTACTGCAGAGTGTCAAAGTTGTACAGAAGTGAGACATAACAAGCGAGAAACATCACAGAACTCTTGCAAAGTTATACCTGTCATTATTTCTATAGAGCAAATAAACCGAAACCGCAGCGTCTTGCTTTGCGCAGAAAACATTTGATTGCTAGCTGACCATTAAGCCTAAGCGGGCACCTTTCTCCAGACCCACATTCACTGGAGTGCACGTATATCGTGTTAGCTACTCCGCTCTCCTCAGCAAACTTGTATCCTAAGGAATTTAGTTTCAAGTGTCACCTCTTCACATTAACAGTTGTCTGCTATTTGGAGCTTGAATGCCTTGGTTACTTTTAATTACAGTGGGTAATGAGAGAAGACTTTCAAACTGTGAGACACGGAGTATTTTTAGATCTCGATCTTGATTATCTAACACATTGCTGCAGTCGACTCAGATATGACTTTGTTGGAAGACTTTCTGTACCATTAATATGATTAAAATCAGTCTGGAGGAAAAGCTGTAGCACTTTGAAAAAAATATAATTTCAATCAATCGACACTTTTCTATGATGCTGTTAAATCTCTTCCGAGACTGAAAGTATTTTCATCTTATGCAACTCTGTTACTTTCACATTTAATAAATAAACTTATTTGGTGGTTATTTAAGAAGGTATACTACTGTTTTTCTAATGGTTGACTCATATATCAGAGTCATTATAAGTGTAGTTATTCAGTTATATCAGTGATATTCAGCATGACAGTTTTTAGCAGTGCATGTCCCATGACTAAGGTGTAATGCGCAGCGAGGAGAGAACCGGTGATTGGTGAGGAGTGTTGAGGGGTTTTAGAACTGTTGTTTTAATGAGCCTCAGATAATGAAATGTTATTTTAGATCCTTGTAGTCTGACTGCTGTCTTAGGAAATTGTGTGACTTTGAGTTCTGTTTGTGTTTTTCTCATTTACAACACAAGCATCTATTTCTTTCCTCGCGATCATAAGATAGATCAGACTTGACTTGTATGGCTTAATAAAGCTAGCTGCATGCATTTTTTAATTGGAGAGTGTCTGGGTCTATTTGTGGTCTGGCGCAATGTAAGTTGGAAATGCCAGCTGTCGGCATCAAAACCCTGCTGGAACAAACCATTATTTGGCATGTCCGTTCAGCTGGTTGAAATGCATCACTTGCTGTGTCATATGTGTAAAAAAAAAAGCTGCTTAATTGATAAAGGCAAACAAACGTTTGATATATGAGTATAATATTGTGACTTGTGACTTGTTTCACTCAAAAAAAAAAAAACTCTCTCATGAACTACATTAGCATTCACTCTTTAAAAAAACGTTTGTGTTAGAAAAAAATAGTTTTTTATTCTTATGATCCTTTTCACAGAGTAGGGGGTTTAAAAAAAAGTCCTCAACACCTTCATCTGTGAAGCTATGACTGACAGCTGTGGCTGGTCTAGAGAGCCGTGAGCCAAGCCCCATCACATAATGCATGCCCGACATGTCTATGTCCATCTGGGGTCCTACCCTTCAAACCACTGCCCCTTGCTCTGTGCCGGCAGAGAGACCAAGGGACAAGAGAAAGAACAGGGTGTGAAGACGGGCCTCGTAGGGCTCTGAGGGAAGCATCCAAAGCCAGCTGGTCTGGCTTTGAGGTAAATCAGTGGGTAGAGTGACACAAAGCAGCAGAAAGAAGACTTGTGGGCAGAACGGAAAGAAGAAAAAAGGAAAGTCAATGCTTGCAGAAGGAAAGGTGGAGATTGGAACAGCAGGTTCTGTGAAGGCGCATGTAGAACAACAGGTAAGACACAGGTGTCACAAAGGGCTTGAAGTCCTCACTCAGGATGTGAAGCGAAATGTGATGCTAATGTCATTTTAAGTTTTATCTCCCATCCAGGATAATATGGGTTGCACATAGCTTTTCATATATTAGTCTACTGCTTTTTATTGGATTAAACTGACACAGGTAATGCAGATCACTACAATGATGTTCTTCTGTATTCTTAATAGCAGAAGATTTTGTTGTTGTTTGTTCTTTTTTGCTAGCCTCAGTTTGAGATGATGGTAACACACGTTAACGCAAAAGTGCTGCTAAGGTGATATCTTAGAACTTAGATATTTAAGAACTAGGGGTGCAATGATACTTGTATCAATATTGAACCGTTCGATACAGTGCTTTTGGTTCGGTACGCATATGTATCGAACAATACAACATTTTTTATTTGTTTTATCAACTTTTCTTCTGACGATGCTGTCTGTGTTGAGCGCTCAGTGGATCTGCGCCTACTCCGCCTAGGCTGCACTGTCGAGTGCAGATCCACTGAGCGCAGCACAAGCTAGCAAGACAGAAGCTAAGCTCGTCGCAACATGGCAACTGCCTCAACGCTACCCGAAACTGAACCTCCCCCACCCTCATTCAGATCTGGCGTTTGGAACTATCTTGGTTTTCATGTGAAGCATGACCCTGGTGCGTCATGGACAAAAGTAAAACAGTATATCGGATGTGTCACGCAATGCTCAAGCTGTGGGAACTAGTGCGTTAGCGCAGTTAGCTTGTTAACCTGTTGACGCTGTCCAGCCCCACGCACGGGGTGATCCGTGGCAACTTGTTAACGGAGATTTGCCGCGTTATGGCGTTAATGTCATTTTAACGAGATTAACGCTGACAGCGCTAGTGGGAACACAACGAATATGACAGCACATTTACACCGACATCATCCTAGTGCAAAGTGGAAGTAGACAAAAACAACAAGCACACATGCTACAAACTTTACCCGAGTCATTTAGACAGCAGTTAGCACATGAGTCTCCTTATGGGGACCTGATATGTTTAATATGCTGCTGAGAATATACCCCAGAAGAAGCGTATAGTATAGCTTTTATTTTGGAAAGAGCCATTTCTCTGTAATAAACTCTCTTTTCCCAAGATGAGTGATTTCTCGATCAGATCGATTAATTTTTTTTATTTTGTTGTTTCAGCAACATTAAATTTAAAAACTGTACTTTTGAGTTAAAATATATATTTATAATTTTAATAAATGACAAATTAAAAAGGCATGAACATTTTGTTTGTATCGAAAAAATATCGAACCGTGACACCAAAGTATCAAACCGAACCATGAATTTTGTGTATCGTTGAACCCTAATAAGAACCAGCTGGAACTCATAAAGGATCACGACAAAGCTGAAACAATGCTGATTTTTGTTTTGGTTATGAGATGTAATATTGTTGTACTAACAATGTAGTAGTACTAATCTTCTAATAACAGAATACCATTACACATGAGTCGCTAACAGATTCAGTCACTTTGAAAACATACATCATATATTATGTAATATATTATACCACTTTTATATGCTACAATATATCAAAGAGGGTTGAACTTTTACCACACAGACAACATAATAATACTTATTAAAGTACACAAAGTATATGTTCTTCTCTGTCTGGATAAAGAAAAGAAAAATCTTTTCAAAGATAGATCTCGCACCAGCATTGTTATAATATAAGCACTGCTGGGTGCAAAATATTCATTTTTTGCTATTGACTACAATTTTCAGCCATCCAGAAATTACAGGAAAGGCTTCAATGACTTCATCAAAGTGTAACAACTGCATGAATTGCTCATTAGACTAAAAGTACTTCAATATTTAACAAACAAAACAGAACAAAACAAAACTTGCTAACCCTGTCATGTGGTGCTTATAAATACATAGTAAATTTGGGAAACACACAAAAAATAATAATTAAATGGCCTCCCACGAAAGAACAACCAGAAATGTACGTTACCTGGCAATATGATGTTATGATTTAAAATGCTAGCATGATTTTCAGAATCAAATGGTAGGGCAGTGTAAATCAACAGCTGTAGATAGAATGGAAACATTATTACTCCCTTTTTGTTTAAGGACTTATTCTAAAATTTAATTTCATCACTTTGGCTTTTTTTTTTTTTTGTTTTTTTGGCACGGAGGGAGAAGTCTTGAGAAAAGTCTTGAGAAAGACAGGGTTTCTTTAGTGCTGATCCAATTCAGTTTAATAAGGTGGTGGGGGGTGGGGGATGTTGGAGCATATTCCAGGATACAGTGTGGACAGGTCACAAGTCCATGATAGAATGAAGTAAACTGATTTGCCATTTAATCTGTTAGTTTGCTGTTTCTTGGCCTAATTATTCCAAGGCTGTGACATTTTGTGTTTTAATAGTTTTTTTTAAAGGTATGTTGACTTCTTGCTTTAAACTTATGAGGAATCAGGAGGTCCCAGGAACACTAAACACAGCCTTTCTTTTTACAGCTCAAACTAACTGGTGACTTAGATAACACAATGCACCGCAGACGAAACAAACACTAATCAACTTTGTACAAAACCCTCTCCGTCAGTCCTGAATAAGTATAAAATGTTTCATCATAGCACCATCAAACCATACAGTGTGTTTGCAGAGATACAAAATTGCTGCTCTGACTACCATTTCTAAAGTATTTAGAGGAAGTGAAAACATTCAGACACTGAAAATTTGGTTACTCCTTGTGATCTAAAATTGATTTTATCAGCTGTATATTAATAAAAATGTGCTACCCAAAAAGCTATTGTATATGAAAGAGTGATTCTATTCCTTCACAAATAGATAATGTAGTTTAATGTGTAAAACTTTTGTGAGACTTCTGGGTTTCACTCTTAGAAAGACTGAGGATTCAGGAAGTGGATCCTTTAATAAAGCAGCAAAACCACAAAAGGATATCAAGGACATTCTTTCATTTATGTTTTTAATCTTGGAGGGGAAAAGGGTTATTATGCTAACAAATGTAATTATTTTAAAATGAATAATTAACTTGTGTGAGGCGTAACCTGGCGTACCTTGTTAAGACAGAGTTTATGTTAACCTGCTGTTGGGTAGTAAGACATCAAGAAATAAATCTTATGCGATAAATCTATAAAGTAAATTGTAGCTAGAATAGTTTCTTGGTAAATACAGTCCAAGTTCGTATTTAAAATAGAAGAAAAGGGTCCTTCTATTCAGGCTCCATTTCAAACCAGAAAGCCCTGTTAGCTTCAAACAGCTTTAAACTGCCACATTTAATCGTAATAGCCACTCATTTGTAAATTTGCTCCAGAATCAAGTCTATCAAATCTATAATAAACGCATAATTGCAAGAGAAAATGACACCTGCCTCCAAACGCCAGTATAAACAGCGGGGCGGGCCACTCGCCACTACAGCCCCTGCTAGCCACACCTCCTGTGACGATGACCCCCGCAAATACACGTGACATGCCCGTATGGGAGTCACGAAGGTCCCGCCTTCCCGCTCCGATTAGCTGCTCACGGGGCGCTGCGAGTTTTCATCGGCCGACGGAACTGCCCTTCAAACCGAATTCCATCGCTGTTGTCTTAGAGATATGACGTCAAATGTAGTTTGTAATGAGGCCGAGGCCAGTGAGTTCGGAAAAGTAGCTTTTTAAATAAAAATGCGCCTTAAAGGAAGAGGAATTGAGGACATGCTTCTATAATTGTTTTCTTTGATTTTGTACAATTTTTTGAGGGGGTAGTTCCATGTCTGAAAATGAGCACAAAATAGATTAATGTTCACCTCACATGAATGTTGAAGTTTAAAAACAAAACACTGTTTAGACAGCTTGTTCTCTACATGTTTTGACGCTGTGTGTGAGAGAGATAGTGGAGAGAGAGTGGAGAGAGAGGGAGAGAGAAAGGAGGGAGTGGGGGGCAGAGGCAGTTCGTCAGATGAGGGGAGGAGTCTCACTGACAAGAGGGAGACTGGCTTTTCTGAGTTTGTCAGCTCCCCCTAAAATAGCAGTCAGCGTGTAAATGTGAACTGAAATTACGTTTATCCACTGGAGTCACCGATATAGAGTGTCTATATACAGCGACTGACTTGGGAGTAAAGGTGAGTAACGGAAATAGAAACAATGTTGCGGAGTGTGGCAGCGATACTGTAGCTACAGTGAGAGTGAGTGTAGAAAAGCGCAAGAGGGAGACGTAGAGTGTGGATTTGGGAGACATTAGGAGACATCTATCTATCGTATCCTAATAACATGTAGCTTTTGCGAGAAGACAGCGTAAAAAGTGGCGTCATTTAATATAAGTCACACTTGGTAATTAGTCGCTTTCCGTGTCGTAAAATACCCAAGTGTCGTATTTTGGGAGGGTGTAGCTAGACGCGCGCGCTGTTGATATCTGTCAATTGTTAAAAACTTTTATAGGACTCATCTCTAAGCCGGTAATAAGTTGTACTAGAAGCTCGACTACATGGTCGGTTTGTCAATTGTGAGTCTTAAAACTCACACAGATTCTGACTTGTTGTCCAGAGTGTGAAATGATTAGCCATACTTTGTAAAACGGGCGAGTCTCCTGGGGGAAAATAGTAATCAGTGTGTATATAATAACACTGTTGAGCCATCACACTGACAACATCAGGCGAGCTCACACGGTGACAGTGGTAATAAAAAAGTTGTCTGGCGTGAGTTTACTGCAGATTGTATGTTTTCCTTAAACACCTAACCTCCTTTAATAAAAAAAAAGTAAAATAAAATACATTTTATGTATGCAGGTATTTTTTTAATTTGTAGATGTACAGCATTATAACGTGAATAAAAAACTTTTTCTTTCATTAGAGCAATTGGCATGATAAAAGTCAAAGCTGAGGTAGTTGCCTATATTGTATATGTATACATATATGTACTATATATTTTCATAGTTTGTTGAAATAGATGAAGGGATATGCGACTGGTTAAAACTGAAATATGCTCAGCCAAAGCGTGCCCAATCAAGTGAATTGATGTGAGAT